GATGAATGCTTTCAGCTATTATTTAGTAGCCAATTACCTAATTCGCAAGCAACCTCTACTATCCTTAACACCACGTTCTTTCTCATGTATGCTATAGATCAAACGCTTCTTTACTCTGTTTCTTTTTCTCGAAGAAACTAGCATTGGCAAGGTGGGAACATAATTATAATAGCCAGATATTCAATAATTAATAATGCTTTGTTAAATGTGATGTACGTGGGGAATATGTGTTGAATATGACAAGTAGATTTCAACTTACGGTTACCATAATACTCTCTTGTCTTTTCTTCTTTGCATGCTTTGGCTTTGTCGTGTTTTGATGCGGTACATGATTTAATTGACACCTGTGTACGAACATGTCTCTGGTAAATGCAGTAAATCAGAAACGGTGAAAATGTGCTATAGTTGGATATTCTTTCCCGAACATCAAACTTTTCTTTGATCAATAAATTAATGCTATTCCAGGAAGGTTGTGGATCTCTTCTTTTGTATAACTTCCGATTCATTTTTTCCTACAGGATACCACACTTTATGTAACACTTGAGCCATGTCCTATGTGTGCTGGAGCAATACTTCAAGCTAGAGTTGATACTGTTGTATGGGGAGCTCCAAATAAGCTCCTAGGGGCTGATGGCAGCTGGATCAGGTAAGAAAGATACATATTTGTTCACTTGATAGCTTAAACACTCACCAGTAAGTGATTTATCATATACTCTGGTAGGTTTTAACAGAAAAACCTTTGAAATTGATTCCTGTTTGAAACTAGCAGTACACATAGGAGCCTTTTCCTTTGAAATTCACAACAGTAAAAAAAATCTTATTAGACCCACCGAAGTTAGAAAGGTCGGATTTTTCAGAGAACGGATGCGTACTTGAGATAATATCCTACGAGAAGTCTCTTGTTGCAAGTGTTGACTTTTTTGAACTTTCTCAAATTACAAGTCTAGGATATTCATATTTCTTAAGCTTAGGATTTCACATGATATATTAGTCAAACAGCACCTTTTTTGCCTTTATTTTATGGAAGGACCATAGTTTGCTTTAGATATAGTGAATATTTACTGTTTCCTATGCTGTCACATGCTGTAACAGTTTTCTAGTTTCATGGTCTAGCATCTACAGTACTTTAGCCATTTTACAGCTTTTCGGAATCATTACAACATTGAATTTACGATCAGCTAATTCGAACGGGCTATTTCTGGAGCACATGGGTCTGCTAGTTATATTGTGTCCTTTCGAAGGGCTCTGTTGGTGAACTTAAGAACTGATCCACATGTATTATAGTGATGCTTTCTCGTTCATCTTAATCATTGTTGCTGAATCTTTTGATTCATGAGTTATGTAGGTTTCTGTTCAATACAAAGGATAAATAACAGATTCTGAATGTATGCTGTAGATGAGAATGTACAGATAATTTGGTCTCAACAACGTGGTGTGCCTAGTTGAAGCAAATCTTAAAATCTAGTTATTCTGTCATTGTCCAAAAACAGATCCACACTTCTTACTACTCCATTTGTTTTCTTTTTTACCTTATTCTCAAGTTCCATAGCTTGCTGAAGAGTGAAGACTAACACCTCTCCGTCTGATTCACGCTGCTTGAAATTTGTGCTTCATGATTGTCTTTTTTGCCTACCTGTCCATGACACCTGATCCAATTTATTGTTTTGTTCCAAATCGTGAGCCAAAGTATCACTCTTGTAGCTGCTAAATTTATCTTCTTCTAGATACAAAAGTGCTCTGACCCTTAACATGAGTACTTATTGTGATTCCGCTTCTGTATGTTTTCATCGTTCATTGTTACTTATTTCTTATTCTTCTGCTGCTTACCTTGCGTGAATCAAGGTTAAAAACGTTGATATCTATCTCTATGTGATCACAAGTTGGATCTCCTATCTTGCTACCTTTGCTCGATATGTACGTTATTAGTCATACATAGAGCTCACCTGGGGCGGATACACCTTGCCTCGAGTGATGTCACATGACATCACTTTCGTTAATTTTATTAAAACTAAAATAGTGGATACAAATATAAAGAATGTCACTGCTTGTCACTGTAGTAGTTTTTTCATTTGTTCATTTCTTCAAATATTGACATTGCTTACGAAAACTCCTGCATACACAGTTCCACAAGAACTTCTTTTGTTTTTTAAGATAAAAGGTTTGTTATTCCTAATGTTTCAGGCTTTTCCCTGATGGAGATGGAGAAAAGAGCTTGGAACCAACAAACAAACCTCCTGCTCCAGTTCATCCTTTCCACCCAAACATAACCATTCGACGTGGAGTGCTGGCATCAGACTGTGCAGATGCTATGCAGCAGTTCTTTCAACTAAGAAGGAAGAAGAAGGAAAAGGAAAAGGAGTCTGATTCTCCACAACCACCTTCATGCCTTCCCATTTCAAGACACCACCATCCGAAATTTCTCAGCAAGATTCACGACGCGTTTCATATCATGTTCTGCCTGTGATTTTTTGTTTCTTACTCCACAATTGTATTGATAAAACCCTCTTTCTACACTCTATTTCGCGGTTTTCAGGTTCATGGTCTTGTCAACAACTTATGCTCTTTAAACATCTGAATTAATCAACAAAGTTATTGTTATTTTCAAGGAAAGAGTCAGTTACAACCAACTTTGTACTGCTTGCTGCATTATACTGACTTATTTTCACATGTCAGCTTTTAGCAAATGATTCGAGAGGTTATTTTCGATAAATCCTGGTAATCTCAAAAGCAGTTTGGAAAAGGAAAGTGAAATAGATATCTTTCTCACATACCAAGTTACTAATAAATGATTAAATGAAAGTGTTATGGCTTATTTTTATTGATTAATTTCAAATCCTTTGTGATAATTTGAAAAAGGTTCATTGAAAGAGTTAGGTTAATAGTTTGGTTATTGCCACATTTATAGTTGAATGACATGAAAGAAAGACAGCAATCTGTTTGGTAGATTTTCTCTTTTTTTTTTTGGATTGGGACTTTGTACCAAGGCATAGCTCATGTGTCAAATCAAAATCAAGAAAGTTTGCTGGTATTTGTTGACCTTAACTCTAGTACCAAGAAAATAATAATAATAAAATTGTGTTTTCATTTGTTTAATTAGTTTCAATTTGCCATGTGTATTAACACCACAGATTAATAATAATTAACAATAACTTAGTTAAATTTAACATTATTTAAATATGTAACCACTTTGCCTTTGCTGCATTGCCAAGTAATAAACATGACAGAGATCATTTCCCCCACAAAAAAAATACAAAATTGATCACCATTATGACATTTGGTATAATCATACTTAGCTTTGCTTTTCCTGGAAGAACAAATCTTGCTAAAAAAAAGGAGGAAAACCTCTACTTAACTTCTTGTACTGTATTTTTTTGTTTATTTTTTACGAGTAAGATTACGAGGTGGGAAATCGAAACCTAATCTACAAGGTGAAAGTTCAAATAGTCAATTAATCGAACTACATATTTTGTGTTTCTTTGCAATGAAGTAGATCTCACTAGAATGAACCTGAAAACAACCCCTCTATCTCTCTATGAGGTAGAGATAAAGGTCTGTGTACGCTCCACTCTTCCCCTAAATCACCTGTAGAATTACGTTGGATATGTTATTGTTGTTCACTTAAATGAACTATGAGAAGATTCCAAGTCTATTTACTACATAAATTTGGTGCATCAAAGTTTATTTACTACATAAATTGGATCATTTATAACAATGTAGAGATTGAAAATAATAGGCTAACTTAAAAAAATGACATACAATGGTCCTTTGATGCTTGAGATGGTAGTTGATAGCAATATATGACCAATATCATATTTTCATATGGATTATAAATCTTGTGATGAAGAAACATAAAAACAATTAAGCACAAAATTTTGGTGCCAATTTTGACAAATGATTAGACATGCTGTAGCATTCACATAAAACTAAGTTTCCCCTAAAAAACATTTCTACCAAACACTTCTTCTTATTTAGAAGTTAAAATAATATTGTTGATGTATATAAGTAGAGAGCTCTTGACAATCAAAATCCTGCACAAAATGGCTTCTTCTAAGTTGATTTACCTTTCAAGTTTTTGCATTTGGCTTGTGATGGCTAATGCACAAGCACCAGCTGCATCACCATCTACACCAATCACGACACCTCCACCTACTACGACACCTGTTGCAGCAACACCCCCGCCTTCCACTACGCCTGTTGCACCATCACAGCCACCAGTAACTTCAGCACCACCTCCAATAGTACCTCCGCCTAAAGTTGCCCCCGTTTCTGCTCCAGCGACCCCACCACCACAACCTCCACCAATTCCACCTGTCTCAAGTCCATCACAACCACCAGTATTACCACCACCTGCCCCAGTTGCTTCTCCACCAGCAGTCCCGCCACCTCAGATAGCCCCAGCACAAACGCCACCATCACCAGCACCTGTAACACCACCAGTGTCTCCACCTAAGGCGCCACCAGTATCAGCACCGACACCAGTCGCTCCTCCACCTGCTGTGATATCACCAGTAGCAGCACCAGAGTTAGCACCCGCGCCAGCACCAGCTCATGGCAAGCACAAAAGAAAGAAGCACAAGCATAAGCACCATCACGCGCCAGCACCTGCACCAACTGTGCCAAGTCCGCCAGCACCACCAACCGTCCAAGATTCTGTGGATGTGACACCAGCGCCATCGCCTACTCTAAATTTGGTAACGTTCCCATCGTTTTTCCCCATCTGGTAACTGTAATTTTTCGAAAATAACGTAGTACATAGACAGGAACAGCTCTAATATGATAAAATCACTTACTCTCTCTCGCTTGAATGCAGAATGGAGCAACCTTTTTACTGCAAGGAAGCGCATCTGGAATGTGGATGAATGCTGGTTTGGCGATGACTATTCTTTTGGCCATCATAATCTGAGATTCCCACAGACATGACATGAAAAGCTATATGTTTCATTACCAGAAAGAATTTTTTTGAAATGAGATGGGGACTATTTATGTGTTTAGAGGAAAAATAATGTGCAATATGATTTTCATTGTTGTCATTTCATTGATATTCTTTTCATCCAGACTTTTACATTGAATGTAATTGATTTTCTTTCACCTACAAAATTGCATTGTCAATACTGTTACTCTCTTGCTAGGGCCTAAAGGTAAGCTTAAGCTTCAATCAATCTTGATCAGCATCTGGATCCATACTAATTTCTTCCTTGAAGTTGTACTCAACCACAAGTCCAAGGTTGTCAACTAATTTGTGATACTGAGAGCAGCCTGAACACTGAAATGAGAATCTTCAGTTGACATATTTCTATACTAACAAATTTTTTTAAAGGAAAAAAAGGCAAATAAGACAGCTATGTCACACCATTATTTGACTTAAATACCACATACTCAAAAGATGTTTAATTATAGATTTCAGTTTGGTATTAGTATTCATGCAAACAATATGTCAGATATCTGAATCCAGAACTAGGGTTGTTAAACTCTGATCATACATGTAACGAAAATCGATATTAGAATCCCTCATACTACTTACGAAAGTTCCAACAGTCCAAAGGATTGGTTAAACCATTATTGGACAAACGTGCAGGAGCAAAAAAACATAATTATTCATGCATTAAGGTAGGGATATAAGATCCCATATGTCCCCAGCAAATGAACGGCTCAGATATGGTGACCACTACCTGAAAACTTATGTGTTCAGCCAAATGTTTTTAGGAAAAATAGTTCAAATTGAGGAGAACAAATGAAAGCACCATATAATACAAGTGCTTCTGAGAAGATTACCCATTAATACCTTCAACGATTAAATCGTCCATCTAGCGCTTCTACCCTAAAATATCTTGGTGAATACATAATTAAGAGAGAATTATTCGACTTTGCTATCTCGTAAGAAAATTAGTTTTGCTTGCAATTATCAAAAGCTTAACAGCATGACTATATGCTCAAATCTAAGTACCTGTATAAACACAGTCCCTCTTTCATATGCTAATCTGTTTATCAGTCTTTGAGAACGAGCACCACAAGCATTACATGTAAATGTTGCTAACAGACTTCTTCTTGGTAATTTCATGTCAAATACTGCTTCCTACAAGAAGGTACCCCCTCATTAAGAATACACAAAGAAAATGTTAAAAGAAACAAAGGAAATCCAAAAAGGGAACTGAACTAGGACAATTGAAAACTAATAACACATCAATACTAATGGTAAGAGGTAAAGAAGAAACAACAAGAAAGAGAAAAGAATATAAATGGAAACAACTTCTGAGATATATCGCTTTATTTGAAAATTTTAGATTTAAAATTTTGGCGATGTGAAGAGAGAAGAAAGAGATGAGGTTCTTTCAGGATAAAGGCCATATATGTTCTGCATCTTTGAGTTCAAAAGTTAAATTCTCAAACAGATGGATACAAAATATTTCACCCTCATTACCAATTGAAATATAGCTAGACTATGTTTACCCTTTAGTAAAAATTATCCCTACAATTTAGGAAATGGATATTTAAAAGTTGGTTTTCATATGTCATATATAGAGCACTTGAACATTGGAATGTACACGTTAATTATCTTCAGATCAAATCATTGCAGCCTACTTAAAATGAATGAATTAAACAAATCCCAATTCGAAATTGATTCAAAGAACTTATTCTGATTTTTCTAGAAAAGAAATTCTCATCAAGACAAGGAAACAAAGAAAACTACATAAATTTCACACCAACTTGGTGTGTTTCAATGAATGAAAATAAATAGTTAATGGGGAAGAAAACTTCGTACTGTGATTCAGAGAACTGTGGAAGCTCTATGGGGGTGATAGAGATGTACAAGTTCCACAGAAGTGATTAATAAAAAGATTACTTCTATGATGTAAGAGAGATTAAGAGGGAAATCTGACAGGAAAATGAACTGTCTGAGTTCTTATTATATTTCCATATTCTGTTGCGAGAGCACAAGGGAATTATGGCAGAATACTAGAATAAGCAATTCATTATTGTTTATGGCTTCTTTTCTCAGGAGAATGAAGCTAAATGAGATTTTGTAGTCATTCTCTTGGCCCAAAAAAATGATACTTGAGTGGCCAAAGGGCAAGTAGAAATTCTTTTTCCATGTAACTGCAAATTAGAACATCTAATTCATTCTTTCGCTAAATAGGGGGTGTAAATGTCACTTCCAATTGAAGTTAAGTTACTCTTTTCAAATCTGAAGTAAAAAAAGGTACTGAGTCAAGGTGATAACTGAAAACCACCCATCAAGAGTCAATCTTTCCATAGAGATCTAGTAAAGGAGGAAGGGAGAACTTAGCTTAAAGAAAACTAGCCAACAGAGAGACAAAACTACTCTTTTGCCAAGTGCATAAACCAAGGATAGCTTTAACCTGTTGAGATGCAGATGCAAAGATGTCTCAACTTCAAAACCCATCAAAGTGTTTTTGTATCTAACTAATTAGTGCTCCACTACTATGGTGTACCTAAGTGTATAGACTCTAGAGGCTCACGGTGGCACCGACTTCCCCTAGCTGATCGTCAAGATATCCAAAATCGTTAGGCACACGTTCACAATGCATGCAAAGAACGGCAAAAGAGTACCTTTGAAGAATCACTTGAAGCAGATGAATTCACAGCGTCTGGTTGTGTTTCAGAACTATCTTCCACAACACAAGAAATAACTGGAAGCCGGAACAAATGTTCTGATGCTCTCCTCTTCCCATAAATAGTACTTGACCTGTTACATAAAAATATAACATACACATACTGTTTTAACCAACACAATTCTCATGCACTCCACCTATTATGAAAAAAACTACTACCCCTTAATCACAATATAGTTGTGGTCAGCTATACATATCCTCATACACACTTAGCTCCAATTGGATCTGTTTCATCCACACGACCCAGCTTAACTAGTTTTAACATAGTACCGCAGCAACGGGTGGAGGTAGAATATAGGAAACGGATTTGGCAGAACCCAGTAATTTTGGTTCAAACCCAGTATTTGTTCTAAGAAATTCGTTTAATATGTACAAATATTTTGAAATGCAATAACTCAAAAGGACTAAAACCCGAACCCATAAGCTTCAAATACTACTACTGCTACTACTACACTCGGGGTTGGTTATACAAATCATCTATATCCATTCCATTCCATAAGGACCTGTTCCATTCCACTCATTACTGTGTTCTACATACTACAACCATATCAACTAAAATGCCTCAATCTCAAACTAGTTGAAGTCGACTTAGCTATATGAATCCTCTATATCCATTCTACTTCATGTGAACCCGTTTCCTCCACTACTCAACTCTCCATAATAAAGTTCAATTTTTGGGGGATAACTATTTAAGTTAAGATTTTCATACCAAGCAACAAACAAGGGAATCAAAAAAGATAATACACTGCTATCTCAATGTTGAGATTGACTATATGAATCCTCTATATCCATTCTACTTAATGTGAACCCGTTTCTTCAACTACTCAACTCTTTCTTTTTCTTGATAATCGTGGTGTTCAGGCCAGATTGCGCTCACCTCAACTAATTTCAGTGTCACCTCCCACCAACGACATGCACCAGGTTACTCTAACTTCCACTACTGAACTCTACATATTAAAGTTCAGTTTTTTTTTTAGATATAACTAGTAAAGTTTAAGATTTTTATACCAAACAACAAACTGGTGAAATAAAAAAAAAGTAATAATCCTCTATCTCAAACTACTTGAGGTCAACTATATGAATCCTTTATATCCATTCCACTTAATTTGAACCCATTTCTTGCACTAAATTCTTTTTTTCTTTCTTGATAACCATGGGATATCGCGTACCTCGACTAATTCAACCGGATAACTTCCACCTCCCACCAGCAACACATACCAGGTAGCTATCACTTTCACTTCTCATCAGCTCTACATATTAAAGTTCAGTTTTTTTTAACAGATAAACCAGTAAAGCTAAGATCTTTACACCAAACAACAAACTGGGGCATCAAAAAAGAACCAAAAAGACAAACCCCATGAAATAAAAGAATGAAATTAGGAAAAAAACATGATGCATAGAAGCTCACCTAGTAGATTTAATACAGAAACGATATGAATTAGATCTGAAGGAAGAAGGGAACTGAAGAGAACAAATGGGCACATGGGTTTTGGTGCAAGTAACAGATAAAGAACTACAAGAATTAAAATTATGGAAGATTTTGCTGTTTCCTGTTATGGAGAAAGCCATTGAAAGAAGAATCAAGAACAGAGAATAGCTCAAGCTGCGGCTTAATTGGAATTATATGCAACTTTATATATATATATATATATATTTATTTATTTATTTATTTTTTTATTTTATTTTCAAGAATTGAGAAAAGGAGTTCAAAGAAAAAAATAGATTTTATTTTGATTTTTTCACTTCAGTCTCTTCACAAAATTGAATATATTTGTTTTTATGCATATGAATTGAAAAGAAAAATCAAACAAATTTCTCCTTTTAACACAAAATTATCGCTTTTTATATTGTTGTGTAATGATGCGTGATAAGATAATTTTGACGCAGAAAATAGAGCGTCATTTTCATTCGCATAAGAAGAATTTATATATTTTACAAGTATGGATTATTTCCTAGATAGAAATAGAACATATTACACCGGCCAATCAAAATACCCGAAAAAAAGGGAATAGAGAACAATTTGACAATTTATCATTTTGTTCAATAGGATAACATTTTCTTTTGTTGCTGCAAATTGGAATAATTCAATCTTGTTCATCTACTTCATGAAAAGGAAGTGGCACTGTCTTAACAGCTCTAAATTTCCCTGCATTATTTAGATGCTCATTCTCCAACCTGTTATAAAGAATTAAAAACAATGTCCATATTAGGAAAAAAAAATACGCGATTTTAACTTATATACACTGATAATATAATCGAGATATCGTAAATCACCTGTAATAATTCCAATGTCCTCTTCTAATAACTTCAAGGGCTGCTAAAAATAGCCCTGTTACCCTGTAGTCTACAGTTCCAAAATTGTAATGAAGTACTGTTTGTAACCATGCTAGTCTCAACACAAGGTTCAATCCCTACAACAACATAACACATTTCAAAAACACGACGACGACTAGTATACGTCTGATCCTCCAAAAGTAGCGCATTTTTTTTTTTGAGGATGTAACATGTACGACAACATTTTAGGTAAGTCTGAACGTAGTTTTTTTACCATGGAGAAGTAGTAGATAAATTTTCGTCGTAGCATCAATTCATTCCTTAACCAAGGATTCTTGGAATGACATTGAAGCAAGCCCCAATCTTTAACAAAATCCCAGTATAATTGATACACAGTTGCAACACTTGACACGACTATAACTAAACAAAGCCATCCCATATTCTTTTCTTTTTCATATGCAACTTTTGCACCAGCAGCCAACATTGCAGATACATATTTTCCTAAGTTGATTAGGTGGCTTTTGTGTCCTTCATCGAACCATCTTCGTGCACACTGCAAATATATCGTATTCGTTTCAGTTTTTTCTATGCAAATCAGTTCAAAAGTTCAAATCTTGAAAAGGGGAAGTTGTTAAAAAACCTGCATAGCTCTCCAGTAATATGGCAAGAATGAAACTGCATAAGCAAGGTCTCTATAATATTTTGTCCTCATACAATATCCATAATCTTGATTTTTGTAACTTCCTGTTATGTAATAGCATGCTACATATTCAAGGTTTCGTAGCATTGGAACCTGTTTAGTTAACGGAAAAATAACATCAGAAAATGTTATCGATATGTTAATAGTACTGAAAGAATGATACTTAAACAGACATTTAAATTTGGCCTCAGCTGACAAGTAAACACTCTAACTTTGAGTATGCATATCTAGACATGCACCTCGACTTGTCTACACTGTGTCAGATGAACAAAATGATCATCTAGACATCTCCAAAATTTACGTGTTGGAGTGCTTACTTGTAAGTTGAGGTCAAATTTGAGCGTTCGTGGATGTATTTATGCCTATTTAATGTAGTGATGTTTCTTGCTAACCTGGCTACAAAGTTGATCAGCCATGAAGAAGTCTAACATGACAACCTTATACAAAGGTGAAAACATGATGTTCCTTATAACACAAATGAATCGATAACGGCTAGATTTGTATATGATGTTGAATGGGCACACCAGCAGCAAAATAAAGACCTGTGAAAAACAATTGTGATTATACTTAACACATATATTGAGCCAAAATAGGCGGAAAAAATCAGTTTTTTTGGTTAATAGTAAGAAAATTACCACTAATAGGAGGGCAGGAATTGCTTGAATTTGATTATAGGAATACCCTTTAGCTACAAGTGTTAGATGAAGAAACAGGACTCCGATAACAGCAGTCATCGATGTAGTACATATAAGGAACACATCTCTATACTTGAGTTCCTTAGTTTGAGCTAGCTCAAAGATGAAGCTATAGTTTACACGAGTCTTTCGCCACATAAATATGTTGCATCCATACAGAAAGAAGTGCAAGAACATTAAGCTGAACATGCTGCATCATCATCAGTGTAGTTTCCATTAGATGTTTCGAATTTTTTTTTCAAAGACTTTACGAGTTAAATAACATTTGAATCGTTTAAACCATAATCGAACACTTGCCTGAGAACAGGATAGACAGTTTCCATGTAGATTGTATCAGATTTAGGTCTATACAGTCCTGTTATATGAGCCATGATCACATATCCAACTAAAAGTGCTATGAAACATCCTCCAAATAAACCTGTTTTCAAAAGCCAATATCAGTCACTGTTCAGTAGTTCAAATTAGATCAACATCATCTTGTTAATGTGAAAATATATATAATATCAAATCTTGTTCCGTGTGTTACAAGTTTCATTTTGGCCTTTGTTGCTCGGACTATCCAAACATGTTGTCCCACCAGTGTTAGATCCTCCAAAAATGTGTAATTGGAAGATTCGTCACACACCTTCAAACATTTTTGAAGAGTCTGAGCAACATAGACTTTCGTGACACAAAGAGGTACAACAAACCTTTGAAAAAAGCTAAACACTATTGTCTTTTGAACACTTAGAAAGTTCTTTAAAAGTTTGAACATAATATTGGTCAATTACATGATAATGACCTAAAATGAGGATTTCATTGTCCTCCACTGCTGAAAAAAAAGTGGACCCTTAAGTCTACTTTTGCATCACATGGCCCTTTTTTATGTTTGATAGACTCTTTGTTTTTATTTGGCTATATAATAAAAGAAGTGGTAACTTTTTTTTAAAAAAAAGCCACTCATGTTATATTATCTTGGATGTTTCCTTCTAGGTCCTTTCCATCCGTGTCGGATACAGAATTTTCATTAAGGGATTGATCATTTACGATATATGAATATACAATATGCTTTTTCAACGAAACTCACCGATGAAAAATGTAACAGCATGAGATTCTTTTTTCTGAGTTGGCTTTAAGTACTTCATAGCCTTTTTTTTATCATCTTCAGCAAAGTGTTTGATGAAAATCTCCTCAACATCATCAGCCAACTTCAAAGCCTATGTAACAAAAAAATGTTATGATGTGTGAGACAACAATATCTTATCAAATACTATAAAGCTATTACTTTTGTAGAATTTCTCCTCTTTAATATATGACCACTTAGTACTGTCTAAGAATAATCTTAAGATGGGATATCTATTTGGAATTTAGTACCAAACAACACTTTTAACTCAAAACAATGTCATGTTGCTACATTTTTCATGTTAAAAATGTTTCATTTACCTTGTCTGAACTGTTGAAGTAAGAACTCTCCACAACTCTTAGATAAATAGGAAGGACTTGTTTGTTTGTAACCTATTAAAAAAAGGAAAAAGTTAACTTAAGACATAGTAAGAGTTTTTTAGTATGGTGAGCCAAACACTTACTTTGTCAAATTTCTTCAAGATCTTTACAAAAGCAAGCATGTTTAAGTTCCTATAAAGATTTCAACATGTTAAATTGTTAAGTTAAAAAGAAAACTAATTGTAAATCGAACGAGTAGTTAGTTCAGTAGCATACCGATAAGTTTTGAGGTATCCTAGTCCCTTGTAGAGCTCAATGAAGGCTCCTCTAATCATCTTCTCCGCGTGTTTTAGCTTTGTTCTATTGATGTGCAACTTTTTTCGTCCATTAGGACCACATTTCTTGGAGGATTGATTGATCATATCATCCCTAAGCAAGTAAGTTATAGCTGAGAATGTTCGTGTTGGATTCGTTAGAGGAATGTGAATCTTTAAGCTTTTTCCCTGGGAATTTATCACGCGTTCAGATAAACTCTTCGATTTATTGTCTTCTGTATTGATGTTAGCTGGATTGCCTAGCTCACTTGATCTTGGAGAGTCTGGTATCACTTGATCTATTGAGTTCTCAATGTCCTGTTCTTGTTCTTGTTCTGTTCTGTCTTTGTTAGACTCTTCATCTGTTGCCAAAAAAAAATCATTAGTATTGGTTAAGGTAAGTCCTGACGAGATGGAGTTGCTCGGATAGTAAGCACCCTTCACTTCTAACCCGAAGGTTGCGAGTTTGAGTCACCAAGGGAGCAAAAGGGGCCCTAGCCCCTTGTACTTCTCCCGAGGATTTTATGTTATTAATGAAAAGTCGATACACACTCTGTCTAGTGGTATAAATTCGCTTAAAAAGATTTTGCTTCAACTTGGAGGAATAGTATATATATCATGAAATTGATTTCTAGATTTCTATGTCCTCTATATATATGATAAAATCAATCAATCATATAACAAACTTAGAAAGTATGAATAAAATGCTAAGTATATTTGAATGCAAAGTAAAAAGTCTCAAGAAAAAGTATTCACTCCCTATGTTCAATTATGAAGATGTAAACAAACGAGGATTGTGATGAGATAAATAATATCCCACCATCCTTAACCAGAAGTATCAGTTTCGAGTCCTGAGTGATTAGTCTACGCTCCAATGTGAGTTCCAAACCAAAAAAGATGTTGTTCAGACCCTCAGAAAATGTTGTCAACACCAGTGTCGGATGTCTATAACATGCATGGTTTTGGAAGGATCCGACACACATGCAACTGTATTTTTGAAGAGTCTGAACAACATGAACGGACATAAAAAAAAAGCACGAAAGAGAGTGAAAACAGGGGTAGCTGTGTTACCACAAGAAATGGTGGCTGAGATTAACTCATCCTCTTTGATATTTTGGCCTGAAGAAGTTCCTTTATCATATTGCTGTTTGATCAATGCATCTTTGAGCTCAACAAGAATCTCCATTTGCTTCTTCAAACACTCCCCTCTTTCGAAAAATTCCT